TCTAGTAATCGACTTCTCTTATTCTAACGAAGATTTATAGTTAATTATAATTTAATACTTTTATTAGGCTACGTTATTTTTATTTATAAAAGGTAATCGACCGGTAGGATTTTAGGGAAATAAGGTCGTAGACTAAATTTTCTTAGAAGAAATAAGAAAGGAGTATCGATATCGATCCCGGCTATAATCTTAAATTAAAAATAATAAGGGAAATTATTAACCGTCATAGAATAAAGGTTACATTAAAGACCTTTTATTAAATTAATTTCCTACCTCTTTTAAAGCGTTATAGTAATTTTAATTCTTATCCTTTTAGAGAATTCTTTAAGGTTGTAAAAAAGGAATACTTGGATAAATATAAGGATAAGAAGTTTTGGAAGTAGGTTAATATTAACGAAGTGGGAAATAATAAGATATTCGGTTCAATATAGGTATATATTTATAAATTCGATTAAAACGGCCGGTTTCTTAAATATAAGGTACGTTTGGTTATGCGTAGGGATTAGTAATTTAAAGATAGCGTACGTAAAATGTATATAACGATTTTAATTATTAGGTCGTTTTGTATCCTAATAGTTATAACCGCTTATTTTAATTTTAATTTAATTTAGTACGATGTAAAGAATATTTTTATTAATATTATATTCAATAAAATAGTATTTATAAGGGCTCCCCCTAAGTATATTAGGAAAGGTTAAGTATTCTAATTACTACGCGCGTTATATAATTTACGGAGTTCTCCCCTCTTTTAGTAGTAGGAATTTATGAAGACCGTTATAACTATAGGTATAAACCCTCTCTTTATAGAGTTTAATGTCCTAATTAAAAATAATATATTCCTCTTTTTTTACATTAATAATATTATTATTATTTATAAGTATAGGGATAAAGAGATTACTATAATTAAGGGGGTAGTAATTGCTATAGAGAGGAAGTATTAATTAACGGGTAGAGAGCTACTAAAGTAGTTTCTAAATATTGAAATTATTTAAGACTGAGAGAAGAAATTAACTTGGCTATTATAATACAATTATATTTAAAAGATTGCGGAGAAGGTTAAGCGTATAAAGAAGCTGTACTTTATATTTATAATTAAGGAGGAATTCCTATTTTACTAAGATAGCGTAATTCCGTACGAGATTTACGTATATTAAATTAAGATTAGTTCAATTCTCTATATTACTATTATATTACGATTAGACGTAGCCTTCCCGGTTTCTAAATTCGTTCAATTTAATTTAAACCCTAATTTAGCGTATTATATAGTTATAAATAAAATGCTCTTTTACCTTCTAACAATTTAAAATTATATTTTTTAATTAAGTGGTAAAGACTATTAGGATTTTTATATTCTAATTAACTCTTTATTTGCAAATAATTCTTTTAATTGAAAGAGTTTATAAATATTCGTATTTAAATTACTAGGCGTTAATATCGATTGGCGTATTAATAAATAAAATATAGTTACGACCCTATTTATAAAGGTTGAATTATCATCCTTTAATTAAAGAGTTAAGGAGGTAATTTACGCCCGCTGTCTTTTTAACGAATTTACCTTAGGATTCGAAAATTAAAAGGCTACGTTTATAAATTATAATAATAAGTAAACAATATAATTTATTATAAAGGAGGGAATTCGGTTCGTAATTAAATTTAAGTATATTGATATATATAAATATTAGTTAAAATACACGTAGGAGAGGAAATTAGTAGACGTAATCTATATACTTATTAAAAAATAGGTCGTAGATAGCTTTATAAATAGTTTCCTTCCCGTAGTATATTTAAAATCTATAGAATAATTAGGATTCGTAAAATTATAGCGGCTATAAATTTAATTACAAAAATTTAATAGCGGAGATATTATTATAGGCCGCTTAAAAAGTATAGAGGATTGTATGAAGGAGGATTCGGGTAACGAATCGGTAAGTGTAACAGTAAATATAATAAGGTAAGATTTTTACGAGTGAAAGTTTGAAAGCTACTGTAATGAAGAAGTAATTTAGGAATAGTATTATTTTTAATTAGTTTTAGGAAGATTTTAAGGCATTTTAAGGTAGATTTGGGTAAATTTGGCGTGGTTTATACATTAAATTTAAGAGGGTATATTAGAGGTTAGGGGATCTATTGAGCGTGTACGTGCCCAATTGGGTTGGGATATGCGGGATTTCTCCAGATGCCAGAGCTTCGAGTCTACAGAGCCAGTCTTACACACACACACAATCAAGCCACGTTGAACCCCATATCGATTATTACTAGTAATATCACAAGTAAACCAAGCGAGCCAGGCCTCCACTTTTCAGGCCATTAGAGCGAGAGCTAAGACTCCCGGGGCCCACTAAACCTCGCTTGTCCAGGCCTTGTCAGCACTCTATTCCAACGTCGACGTCGTCGTCTTCCTTGAGAAGTTGAGATGAGTTTTCGAGGTCCAGATTGTCAGCTCGGTGGTCAGTTACAAGTGAGGCGTCAACCCCGAGAGTTCAAGACGAGTTCAGTAGCATATAGGTCAGCGTGAAAATATCGATGTGCGGGTTCGAGGAAGACAGCCATGTGTCTCCGAATGCCGATCGCTTGAGGCTTGCGAAGTGGATGAAGTGCAAAATGCTAACAGTCACAGGTAACAAGGTTTGGTATCGACAAAGGTGTAGCAGAAAAGTGATCTTTATCTTTGTAATACGATTACCGGCTTGAAAATCAATAGCAATGAAGGCTCGCTATCCAGTGATAATCCATTTCTGGTCCGCGAAATGCGGCCGGGCTGACAATGAGCGCAGAAATACGAGTCTGAAAATTCAACAGGCTTGGAAAGCTTCTGAGACCTCTTGCATAGGATTATCTTCGTTCAACTCACGACCGAGCTACTTGTGCACACGATTGCATGTATCTCGCCCATTGTTTTCCTAAGATTACCTAGCTCTACACAGCAATCTTGGACAAGTTTGTCACTACATCATATGTTTGTGTCAAAGCGAACGCAAACAACCATTCACAGTCTGACTGATTGTGCCAGAATGCGCAAAACAAATCGGAACGCAACTAACTGAAGCAAAGCCATCCGCGCCATTTTTATTTCACAGCAACATATAATGGAAAATGTCAAACAATGAGGAGACCAGTTACCAAACAAAACAAAAAGGATGAAAGGAAAAAAATATCTGATGTTGAGAAAAGAGCGAAAAAAAAGCAGCCCAACGTGGGACTCGAACCCACAGCCTCAAGATTAGAAGTCTTGCGCGCTACCGATTGCGCCAGCCGGGCGCCGCTAGGTGTTAGTGCAATGTCAAATTTCTTCAGCCTATAACTGTGAGACAAACTACGGCAGGGGTATGTATGACTGGTGGATGTCACTTTTGTCTTTGCACACACAATCGGACTTCACGACTTCACTGTTACTTCTTAGCAAAATAATAACTGTCGTCTTTATTCAATATACTGAGCTTTGATTCGATTTGGAACTGGATTAATTTGAAGGTTCAGCGAAAAATCGGTTTCGTGTTCATCTTGTCTGGCCGAGTCACGAGTGCAAGGTGATGTTGCACTGGTTTGGCCAAACTCCGATCTACATAACATTCGAGATAAGAATGTATGTGTACCCCGAAGACTCGATGAAAATACAACTTGTCGGTGGGTTTTTAGCAGATGCGATTTACAGCTTCTGTTTCTACGTCCAAACCTAGAGCTATCTTCCAGAGTCTCTTCAGACCCCACCCAGCGCAGAGACCGACGACGGACCAAACGGCAATTCACACAACCCGCCAACGACCCAGTCCGTCCGGTGCGGTGATGGTTACTCGATGTTTGCATTCTGGTGGCTGTCGCCAACATAAAGATGACTTTTAAGGTAAGACTTACACAATACGACCGTTCCTGCCTTCACTGCGTTGTTGTGTAGTGTTCCACGTCCCGAGGAAGGCGCGGCTACCTATGTTCTTTCTGCTGTGGTCGTGGAGGATCTATCTACCTTCAGAATTGGCTCAAGCTGGTATTGGACTGATGCTAGTATGGTTTTTAACCCACAAAAGAGTCAATATCTCTCACTGGAGAGAGTAGTATTGAGAATAAAAGACTGGGGCATGTATGGATCGCTCGCCTCTCACCACGACGCAACCTCAAGCAGCGAGCGAGTGCCACGGCTTTTTTACACAAGAATGGAACAGCTGTCAAAGGAAGCTTGGGCGTGGCACGCGGATGGGATGGAATCGATGGTCTCAGCCGACATATGACAGGAAAGACCGGAGACTGTATCCCTGGATTCACTCCCGGCCAGGAGCTACCTTAGCATTCAAGTTGTGCTGGGGCACTCAAGTGGATTGTAGACTGGAAAGAGGGAAGAGATTGAACTAAAGAGGCACCGCCATCTCGGTTGCCACGCGATATTCAGTTGCTGCAGTGGCGGCCCAGCACCCCAGAAGGAGGGAGCGGTGAAGACAACAACAACAACAACAAGAAGATTTGACGTGGATCGGGGCGAGGAAAACTAAGTAAATAACTTCGCCACGTATATAGTGCAGGCAAGTAGGCTAGGTAGTTGGAAGCGAGACTCTTCGAGCTTCTGGGCATGGACAGCATGATGGAGCAATCTCCGAGTTAATAAGCCCACAGTCCACGCATTAGATACTGCCCCGTCTATGTATTGCCCGGTCGGTTGCCCCCCACATCCCGTTTCCTCCAGCTCTCCAGCTTCTTCAGGTCGTGTTGGAATTCCGTAACGGAACGAAGGTAGGAAACTCCAGTTTCCGCGTTGGGTGTTAGCGGCCTCGGCGCGGCGAGAGGCCACATGAAGACTAGACGCTTTGGTTATCCCCAAGTAGAATGAAACTTGAAACTGGAAACATTGACTGGTGTGAGTGGGTACTAGGGAAGTCTGTGTTCGTAGCCAGGCTTCCCCCTGTGAGACTTCAGCTGAGGTTGTATTCGGGAAGCCTGGCCGTCTTGATGAGAACCATATGCAGTGTTCAAGCATGTTCAAGGATGACAGATCCGGGGGGACATCGATGTTACTTTGCAAGTGCCTGGCGTCTATTTTCTTCCGTCTACATAAGAGTGAAGAGGAAGTCAATGTAGGTACTCTAATTACAAACAGTTATCTTGGTTCCGTCCGACACAGAGAGAGAGGCCAACCTGTCCGTTCTCTTTCGTATTGCGTGTTCTGCCAGAACAGGTAGTCCGCGTATCTCGTTTTCGCCGCGGCCACCATTCAAACGATTCTCTCTCCCCGATCCAAGTGCCCCTCTCTTTTCTTGCGTGTGCTGTGTACCATTTAGTCGGACGGGGAGTCTGGTGGGACCGAAAGAATAGGGGACCAAAGGCCAAGAGTCCCACGATGCCACTTGGTGTGTTACGTTGCTCCGTTTCCGTTTCTGTCAACGCAACAAAGCGGTTAGCCATCACATCTCATCCCATCGAAGAAGCAGCCAAGTGGAAAGCAGACATCGCCGAGACGGAGCAGACGGGAGCTAAGGTATATGCAACTTACACAACGGATGCAACCTCTCGAGCACTTGGATCAGGACTGGGGCTGAGGCTCGAAGTACTAACGGCCTGTGACGGGACCGAAAGGAGCGGGAATATTTCTTTCGCCTTGGGCACAGCCTCCGGCGGCGGCGGTGATGCGGAGCCGCTGTCATCGACGGGCCCCTCAGGACCTTCTGCTGCTCCTCCGCTGCCAGAAACCTCAAGCCAGATACCGGTGCCGGTACCTTGTCCGTGATCTATCGCGTTTCTTCTGGCAGCGTGGTTGTAGTTGCCGTCGGTCATCTTGGTCTTGACGTAGGCTGACATTGGATAAGGATTGGTGCCGTTGTCGTTCTCGTCGTCGTTGTTATCCTCGCTCAAGTGCTCCAGGATCACAGTCCTTTCCAAGGGAAATGCACTAATGACGGAGGCTCGTTTGTCATGGCTATGGAAGGAACTGCCCCGACCGTGGTAGGCGGCTCCTTGAGGAGCCGTAGTAGCGGAGTCAAGGCCGGGCACGGAGGAGCCGGTGGACAGCCAGCTGGTTGGAGCGGAGTTGAATGCTCCAGTGTTGGGAGGGGCCGAAGGCTCTGGATGTGCCCGGGACACGGCATGGTAGCTTGTGACGGAGGTAGGATCCCAGCTTCCGCCGGAGTCCCGGTTGGAAGGTTCCCAGTCGTCTGGGTGGTCATTTGCTGTGATGTGGGCTGGAGCTTCGTAGGCTCGTTCGAGCTTCTTGAGAACTGCCGGGATGGTCGATTGCAGAGGCGTGGGAGCCACGGGGTCTTGATGCTGTTTCTTCAGTTCGTCCTCCTCAATCTCGGCGGTCTTGAGAGCCACGGGGGCTTGGTGCTGTTTCTTCAGTTCGCCCTCCTCGGTCTCGGCGGTCTTGAGAGCCACGGGGGCTTGGTGCTGTTTCTTCAGTTCGCCCTCCTCGGTCTCGGCGGTCTTGAGAGCCACGGGGGCTTGGTGCTGTTTCTTCAGTTCGCCCTCCTCGGTCTCGGCGGTCTTGAGAGCCACGGGGGCTTGGTGCTGTTTCTTCAGTTCGTCCTCCTCGGTCTCAGCGGGCTTGACCCAGCCACGCTTCTCCAAGGAGCCCCGGCATCGTTTCCATGCCTGCTGGCAGAGGAGACGATCCCGGTCTGGTAAACCCATTTTGGCAATCGTTGGATTGACTGGATCTCAGAGGATGATTTCCACTCCTCGAGGGATTTTTTTTCTAGTGTCTGTGGTGAGAACCATTTTGTCAAGCAGATTGGTAAGCCCGCATGCTCATGACCTTGTTAACAGACATCAGTTGACCGTAGATACGAGCTGCGGACGTAACAGCAATCAAATATCGGACATGAAGCACTCATGCTTGACTGCGTCTGCCTTCAGTGGTGATTTGCCGCTGTTGCTGCCATCTTTTGTGCCGGCATCTCAGCCCGTAGATAGAACAGTGATCCCCAAGGTCCGTATTCGCATAGGGTTTTCAGCTCCAAGATGGAGATAAAATTCGACGTTGTCATTGCAAGCTAGTATCACGGGCATAACGAAGTCGCAGGAAGTGAAGCGGAAGAGAACTGGGTCGGGCAGGAACAGAAGCAGCATCTGGCAGCCTTCAAGGTTCTCAGAGTGGTCTGTGCACGGAATATCTTGCCTGCCGGCTGTTCACGCCAAAAAAATGCAAGCTTGACATCTGGCACGCAGTTCCTTGCTGTCCTGGCACGTGCCAGGTCACCGTCGATGACATTTCTGTCATTGATCTCATCGCACAACCGGCGTCAAGCTCGGTGCAACATCATTCTTGTTGTTTCAGGGCAGCATTGCCAACCGCGTTCCCTTTTTCTCAATCTTTTTCTGACAATGCGTGATATCGCAGGGTGACCATTGTCGGATCAAGCAGCCGACAGTCACTGAAGATTTCTTGATCTTCATGTCTGCAGCGGCCAGCCGACAGACTTTTCCCGGAATCCGTCAGCATCCCACGATGCCAAGGCCACCACCACCATCACCGCGCGTCACTGTGCCCTTCATTTTACCGGAAGGATGGAGGATGCAGACCTGCGAACCCAGTGCGAGCGGCATTGGAGGCCTTGACTGCAATCTCGAGATATTGCTCTCTTACCGCCTTCCCGGTTTACTCGTCGTCAGATAGATTGCACCACCGAGCCTCATTGCTTGTCCAAAACCTCGAAGTCGGACCACGGTGATCAACATTCCCTTGGATGCCGCCCCGCTGCACACACGTCCGAGCAGATGCGGGGAAGCTATTCCCTTCTCGGCCCCTGCCGATCACTGGCTGCGGAGAAGAGAGCTCGCTAAAAAGAGAAACCTGGGGTTCCGTGGATGGTGGAGTGCGGAGGAGGCGAACCCGTCAGTGCGGAGCCGAGACAGAAGCTAGAACAGACGGAACACCACCACTTCGAGAACAACTGAAGACAACGAAGAGGTAGTGATCAACAAGAAGTCTGTTGACCCGCCTCTCACTGATGCTTTTTTCGGTATCATAAGAGTCGAATAGGGGCCAAGGGGACAGCGGTCAAAAGTCAACAAACATCCCAAAATTAAACATGGCCAAGGAAGCTGCCAACTCTCAACGGCTCTTCGGAAACACCCAGCGCCCAGCGGATACACAGAGATCTTGAAATGTGAGTGTCAGGCGGGAATAGTGACTCCAGTCGCCCCAGTGGCACCGGTCTTTCGCGGTCCATGAAACGGTCGAGCTAGAATCGGACTGCCATCCGTTTTGGGTGCGGCTCGGTGCGTCCTCCTCCGAAAAGCCCCATCCGCAGTTATCTCCATCGCCGCCCCTCCAATAAGCGGCACTTGCCCCTGTCCGCTTTACCCAACCTTAATCTGCCCTTTTCAGGTGCGGTCCTGGAAACCTGGGGAAGCTGGCGCCGCCAACCAAGGCCAAGACGACGCCGTTGCAACGTTCAAAGTGTCTGTCCGCATGTCTCGTGGTCAGCATCGAGTCCGTTCCGCACTTCCACCATCCTACGACCCTGTGTATCCAACCTGGTGGACCAATCCATCCTCCGCGTCCACCGTCTTCGGCCTCGCGCTTGCCCCCCTCCGCAAGCCAAGATGGTCATGCCGCCGGCCCCCTTTCCCTCAACGTGAGGCTACGCACGCAAAGCCTGGTGCCCGCGTCGAGGTCGGCCAGCTCGGGAGATGGGAGCGACATTTCCGCTTCAGGGCCTTGGTTGTGACGGGCCGTGAGCCGAACCCACAACGTCCTTGGCCGCCTTTCACTCTGACCTACTGACCTTGTCGAAATCCGGACAGGCATTCCTCCCGCAAAGCCGACCGCCCCTTGGAGCCTGGTACGCCTTCACGGAAGTGGCGTGGCAAACGAACCGAGGGGCGCTCTATGGAATCTCAAAAGACTTCCAGATCTATATAATCTGGCGATTCAACACCTCTTCAGACTCCTTTCGATCTCGCAACCATCATCCTCAAGCACGCCTTTCAGCCTCATCTTTACCATGCTTGCCAAGTTCGCTGCCCTCGCGGCCCTTGTGGCCTCTGCCAACGCCCAGGCTGTTTGCTCTCTCACTGCTGAGACCCACCCATCCATGAACTGGTCCAAGTGCACTTCTTCCGGCTGCACCAACGTCGCCGGCTCCATCACTATTGATGCCAACTGGCGCTGGACTCACATTCTTTCCGGCAGCACCAACTGCTACAGCGGCAACAAGTGGGATACCTCCATCTGCAGCACCAACACCGACTGCGCTACCAAGTGCTGCGTTGATGGCGCTGAGTACACTTCTACCTATGGTATTCAGACCAGCGGCAACTCGCTCAGCCTTCAGCTCGTCACCAAGGGCCAGTACTCGACCAACATTGGTGGCCGTACTTACCTCATGAATGGCTCCGATGCCTACCAGGGTTCGTGCTCATCTCTCCCCATTTCCTGAATACCTTTCCTGAAAACTGCTTCTAGGCTTCGAGCTCCTCGGCAACGAGTTCACCTTCGATGTCGACGTGTCCGGCATCGGCTGCGGTCTCAACGGCGCTCTCTACTTCGTCTCCATGGATCTTGATGGTGGCAAGGCCAAGTACTCCAACAACAAGGCTGGTGCCAAGTACGGTACCGGTTACTGCGACGCTCAGTGCCCTCGTGATCTCAAGTACATCAACGGTATTGCCAACGTTGAGGGCTGGTCATCCTCCACCAACGATGCTAACGCTGGCATTGGTAACCACGGCACTTGCTGCTCTGAGATGGATATCTGGGAGGCCAACAAGGTCTCGACCGCCTTCACTCCCCACCCCTGCACCACCGTCGACCAGCACATGTGCGAGGGTAACTCCTGCGGTGGTACCTACTCCGACGACCGCTATGGCGGTACCTGCGATGCCGATGGTTGCGACTTCAACAGCTACCGCATGGGCGACACCGCCTTCTACGGTGAGGGCAAGACTGTCGATACCCGCTCCAAGTTCACCGTCGTCACCCAGTTCATCAAGGACTCTGCCGGCGACCTCGGCGAGATCAAGCGTTTCTACGTCCAGAACGGCAAGGTCATTGAGAACTCCCAGTCCAAGATTGCTGGTGTTTCTGGCAACTCCATCACTCAGTCGTTCTGCGATGCCCAGAAGACTGCTTTCGGCGATGTCGGTGACTTCAACAAAAAGGGTGGTCTCAAGCAGATGGGCAAGGCCCTTGCCAAGCCCATGGTCCTTGTCATGTCCATCTGGGACGACCATGCCGCCAACATGCTCTGGCTCGACTCCACCTACCCCGTCGAGGGTGGTAACCCCGGTGCTTACCGTGGCGAGTGCCCTACCACCTCCGGTGTCCCCGCCGACGTCGAGGCCAACGCCCCCAACTCCAAGGTCGTCTTTTCCAACATCAAGTTTGGCCCCATCGGCTCTACCTTCAGCGGCGGCACCACTCCTTCCAACCCTTCCAGCTCCGTCAAGCCCGTCACCTCGACTGTCAAGTCCACCTCCACTGTTAAGCCTTCTTCCACCTCTACTGCCTCCAACCCCAGCGGTACCGGTGCTGCTCACTGGGCCCAGTGCGGTGGTATCGGCTTCTCTGGCCCAACCACTTGCCAGAGCCCTTACACTTGCCAGAAGATCAACGACTACTACTCCCAGTGCTTGTAAGTTACTAGCCTGGATGGGTAGCCTTTTGATCGGCTAGTCATCGTCGGCAGCATGGTAACCTCGACTGCGTGCAAAAAGAACGGGGCAGCCAGGGCATCGAAAGGATTTACGCTTGAGGAATGATAATGGTTCGACACAAAACAGAGGGTTCTACAGTACCTCGACTTCAAGTACATATTAGCGTGTTTTGCATTCTTCTACTATCTTGTACATAGTTCCGCCTCAATGACCTTTGGGTCTTTGGCAGTATATATTTCGTGCGTTTGTTCATAACCTTGTCGCCTTTTGTCTTGTGATCTTTGCAATCGATGTCTTTTCAATACCTTTCTCAGATGACACCTTAGAAGCGCATGATATGTTAGTGAAACGACAACGATAAACAACAGCACAGTTGAAGACCCAAAACAATTTGTTCATTCTCTCACAAGACATCCCGGCCGGCAACAAATCCACCTTTCGTGTAAGTGGTGTAAGTCCATTGGTCAAAAATTGCAGGCCACACCCAAGCTTCTCCCAAAACCCTGGGTCCCCACAGCTCCACAACACCAAAAATTTTGTCGCTTCATCAAGACAACTTCCGGACCCTGAAAACAACCAAGGAAGGAAATCCATACAATCGGGTATGGTGTAGCGGTAACATCGTTGACTCTCACTTTCCCACAGAAAGTGTCTGCCTTCTCAACAGCCCCGGGTTCGACTCCCGGTATCCGAGTGATAACGATTAACTCATCAAGTACTTCCTTTTTTTTTTTTTTTTTTTTTGCATCTTTTCTTTCCTTCCTGTCTTGCCCGAGTTTTTTTTTTGCGTTTCACTTCTTTCCTACTATTTTGTTCGTTATCGGTTACAAACCCCTTATCAAGGAGAGAGTGACAGCCATCCTTTGACGTAGAGGAGGTACTTGAAACACCAAATGCCATTTACTTGCTAGACTTATCTACCTTAACAAAGTTGGACACTCAGCACCATCAACTCCATCCAAAGGCATTCTCACTCACCATCTAACTCGATCCTGTCATACCCATCCCATGCTTCATCCTGCATCACCAACTTGCCCAATTTCCCATCCTTTCCTCCGTCAACCATCTCTTCATCCTTCATCTTCCTCCTAAACACTCCATCAAGCCAATTATGAATCCTCCACATCGTAATCTTGGCGCTATAATGCATCATCCACGTATGCCCCGTCTCCCTAGCTACATACACCTCCACCTTCTTCGCATCCGGCCACACCCTCTTCCCCATCTCTACCAACTTCTTTTTACAGCTCCCCCTTTCATTACGATCATCATCACGACCACTTTGACTGGCACAAAAAAGAGCATCCCTCTCCCCAGAAACCACCATCACTGGTCCTCTATACCCCCTCGCCACCCCTTCTTCTTCTTCTCTAGTTTCCATCGCGTGGTAATAAACCGCCTCTCCAACAGTAACGGTCCCCTGCCCCCTAAAGTCCTCCCCGGGAATGCTAGCCGTGTCATAAAACCCCGCATAAAAAGCCTTCTCCCTTTCTTTACCGTCGCGAAAAGCCAAATACGTCAGTGGCAAGTGCCCAAATCTCTCCGAGCCATCCACCATCCGCGCAGGCACCAAATTCCTCACCACACTTTTATTGAACCCGCTTCTCTCAATAGGCGACGTCTGAAACACCCCATCCAAATCCCTCGGGTATCTCCTCACCAAAGAAACAACCAGCCCTGCCGAACCGTACCCATGCCCCACGTACACGATCCTGGGGAAACGATAAGGTAGCGGGTTCCTCCACCCCTTTCTGGGAGCGTTGATTGGACCGTGGCGAAGGAGGCGGACGAGGGAGTGCAGCACTGATGATTGAAGGGGGGGTTGGATTTCCGTCACACCGTCGTATTGTTTTGATGAAGACGAAAAGGAGGAACCGCCGTGGCCTAGCAGGTCGATAGCTAGGACGTGATACCCCCTCGCCCTTGCCATCCCCATCCAGTCGTAATCATTGTGACCCAGCCCAAGACCGGACCAGATCGTTTGGTTGTAGGTTGCCCCATGCACCAAAACCTGAAGAGTGCGAGGAGGTAGACCGGGTGGGTGGAAGAGTGGACGGCAATAGGTGGCGTGGAGGGGAAAGACGCGGTTACCGCGGCCGATGAGATGGGTGCCGTTCGTTAAGGGGCCGGTGGAGTTGGAGTAAGAAGAGTGGAGGAAGGAGAGGATGGAGGAGGCGGAGAGGGGGTCGGGTGGGTGGAGGAAGACGGTGTTGAGGGCGGTGGCGCGGACGAGGAAGGTTAGGGGGGTGCAGCCTGAGGCTGATGTATGTGGTGAGAGACGTTGTGGAGGAGGGCCAGCAGCAATGGGGTGGAGATGGAGAGGAGAAGAGATGGTGGGTGTGGTGAAGAAGGTGAGGTGAAGGAGGAAGAGGGGGATGAGGAAAATGGAAGAAGGGTTTGATAGCATGATGAGCGAGCGGTCTTATAGTTTTCGGTCCGGTGTGAGTTGGTCGAAAGGGGCTGTTTAATCTTAGGTTCGTTCGTGGTGTGAAGATGTGTTGCGGCCTGGTGTGATGAAGCTGGGTGATGGCAAGGTTGGGAGCAGATGATGATCGGAGGCTTACGGCTGGGTCGTGGCTGATGTGCCTTCATGTTAAGCGCACGACGTCGAAGATGGGGTAGAGGTGTTGGGAAGGAGACATGGAAGTTGGTGTTGCTGCTATCCAGATGAACAAGACCAATCACATGCAACAATGATGGTCGCTCCTACCCAAATTGTCGATATCCATTTTGGCTATCGCCCAGACCCGGATGTATGTATCCCCGTCTTCATGCACCCCAGGGCTCTATCCTATTTTGGAGATATCAAGAGATGCCAGCGTCGATGAACCCGTCACTTTCCCCATCGATACATCGCCGATGACACGCCAGCACACCTTGCGTGATGGCATGGTCCGACGACAGATCGACGAGGAAAATAACGAGTTCAACGTCGCTTGGGTCCCTCAACTACCCCATTGTCGTCGTTTGAAGTAATGGTCCAAGACATCAAGACGCTGCTATCCAATCCTGCTTCTGGGTGCAGTGCGCTCCGAAAACTATCAGATTGCCGACCGTATTAATCCTCCGGAAGTATCATTGTTGCTTCTTGCCGTCATGGTTGCCGTCCCGGCCAGTGGACGCATTTTTCAAATCGACACCACGATGACCATCATCATCGTGACCAACCGCACCAGCTTCCTCGAGTACTTCCTCCGTCGTCGTCTCACTCTTCTTCGGCGGTAAATCTTCCCTCCGAAAGGTCCAGCCCCCTGACCAGCCAATCCATCCTTTCTCTCTTGGTCCTCGGACAAGGCATACTATCAGCGCAAACCCGCCGAAGGCAACTATCTTCTGTTAGCAATTCCTCTCCATCACTCACTGCTTCAGGGACAGTCAATACTCACTCCCACAAGCACCACTATACACCCACCCTCCCTGAGCATAAAGCCTATTCCCCACCGCCGTCCCCGTCAACTGCCCAGCAAAGCTGACCACCATATACGCCGTATTAACCCGATTCCTCGCCAACGGCTGAATCCCATAAATCGAAGACCTCATCGCAATCTGCGTAAACTGTCCTCCCAAATCAATCATAATAGCCTGCACCACCGGGCCCGCCACGTTGAAACTACCCACCGACGTGCCCACCACTACGCCCACCGTCTCGACCACCAGCCCCATGATCGCCGACACCAGTGGCACCAACCGATCGATAATCAACCGCGAGTAAATCGGTGCGCACACAATCACCACCACGCCAATCAACCCAAACAACCCGATAACCACCGACGAGTACTCGTACGGCGGACTGCTCAGCAGGAAACTCAGCGTCGTCCAGTAACTCGTGAAAATACCGCTGTGCAAGAACGCCACCAAGGCGGCTTGCAGCAGCAACGGCTCGGTGGCCAACAGCTTCGCGATTTGCCACGGCATTTTGAAGTAGTTGAACTTTGTGTCTGGGTTTTTGGAGGGGTAATCTGGCATCCAGATGTAGAGCAACCCAAAGACGAGCCATTGCACGCCTAAGCCGAACCAGTAGATGTTGCGCCACGAGGTAAAGTTGGCTAGCACGCCGGCCAGGGTGCGGGCGAGGAGGACGCCGAGTGAGAGGCCGGAGACGATGACGGCTAGGGAAGAAGCGCGGCGGGCGGGGGGCGCGAGGTCGCCGACTAGGGGGAGCATGAGTTGGGGGGTGACGGTGGTGGCGCCGCAGAGGAAGGAGATGGTGGCGAAGGAGGGGAAGGAGGTGGTTAGGCAGAGGGGAATCCACTGTTTCCGACAGACAGATGGTGTTAGTGAAGGTGAGATAGGAGATGATGGGTTGGTGGAAGGAAATGGAAAAGACGTACCAAAGTTGCTGTAAAAGCGATCAACCCAAGTATGAAAGGTCGCCGGGGGAAGATGTCACCCAGCGGACAGATGAACAACAAACCGCTGCAATAGCCAGCTTGCATCAGCGTGGCTACCGATGAGGCCTTTTCGAAGGTGACATCGAACGTCTCTGCGATCTTGTTTAGGACGGCTTGGTTGTAGTACAGGTTGGATACGGTGAAGCATGATGCCTGGTGGAAGGTGTTAGGTTTGGCGTTGGACACTCGATATTGATATGAAGAACACAACTCACAAACCCGAACAAGATGTTTATCCACATGGTAAACTCTGGGGGGTTGTCGGGATCATACCTAGCCGCTTTGGGCTTCCAGTGCCAGAGTGTTTGAAACCGGTTCTTCCATGGTGTTGCCGCACTTCCATCAGCGTCGTCGACTTGCGCAATTTGAGGTAGTGATATCCCTGACGACTGGGCATTTGCGACTGTACCTAACACCGGAGGCTTCAAGCGGTGATCATTATCGTTGGTGTTAGTCGAACTCTGATGAATCGGGATATGTGGTGAGGTAGCTTCAGGGCCCCCTCGTATGGTTGGCTGCTCGCCATTTTGATGCCGAGACATTGTCTGATACCGCCGAATTACTCGCAAACTTGTGTAGAACGACGAGTTGGACGAGAGTGGAAGGGAAAGGAGGACCGCACTGCCAAACCCCATACACCCAAGTCCTTTCGTTAACGTGCCAACTCGGTGAGGGGAGCAATGTTGTCACTGCAGAACTGGTGAAGCACAGCATCGCGTCTTCCGAGAGAAGACTGACGTCGTCGGCGTTTGTTTGTTTCCGGGTCGGGGAGATCCGTGGGGGAATGGGGGTTGTCAGGGGCACTGCAGCTTGCAGGGGGTGCTGTGCGGGGGAGGGGGAGCGGCCGAATGCGGCAGTTGCTCTTGTTTAGGCGGTGATATTCCGGGAACATGAACGAATGTTGCGTCTTTTGCATTCCGAACCACCCTTCTCGGACGGAAGACGGAATAATCATCACAAAGCCATCTTCATTAAGTAAATTCCTAACAGACGCTCACTGCACAACAAACCTCTGATCATGCTTCTTAAACAACACGGACCGATCCAAAATCTCGCCCGTCTCGCTCTTGATAAAGTCCACCTGCATCCGCTGCTCATCCAGAAAATTAACCGTCGCATAGCTAAACGCGTCATCATACGCGAACCGATTCGTCGACACATTCTTGCCCACCTTACTCAACCCCTCCACGTTCCCCGCGCCACCGGCCACGATATACATGGGCGCCTTGGGATTCTCCATCCCCGCCGGGTCCGCGGTGTCATTCACCACCGGCGCAAACCTCTGGCTGTTATGCACATGCCCAAACACGCCCAAATCAACCCCATACTTGTAAAACAGCGGCTCAAACGCCTTCTTGCACGGCTGGCAATCGCTCCCGCCGCCCGTGGTGTACCACGGCCTGTGGCCCGCTACAACAACCCAGGGGGTAACAGACCTGTCGACCGACGCGAGGTCAGCCTCCAAAAAGTCCAGCTGCTGACGCAGGTACGAGCCGAAGGGCCCCCCGTTGAGTCCCTCACTCCCGCCGGGCTGGTCGGGCGCGTCCTCGAAGTCGGTTTCCGTGTCGATCATGACCATGTGCGCCATGCCGTACTCGAACGAGTACCAGAAGGGCGGGTTGGCGAGGAGACGGGCCTTGTTGGCGTTGACCTTGGCTGCGGAGTCGGGCGAGGTAGAACTAAAAGCGGTGGGCAGGACGCGGCCAAAGCGGTTGATGAAGTCGGTGAAATTTTTTTGGCCAGAGGGACACAGGGCGCTGGTGTGCGGCACCTCTTGGCACGAAGCTTCGTGGTTACCGGGGCTGGTCATGTAGGGTTTCTGCGCCGAGATGGGCGCCAGCTGGTTGAAGAAGGTCTCGGTGATGGCTTGGTAGCCGTCCTTGCCGTCGAGCCAGTTGTGCGCTTTGAGGATCCAGTCGTCGGCGTAGCCGATGTCGCCCGGGTGCACGATGAAGTCGTACTTGTCGATGTTGTCGCGCAGCCGGCCGATGGTGGTGTGGTTGAGCGACGGGTCGATGGAGGGGATCAGGTCCCGCTTGGTCTCGTCTTGCTCGATCGTGTAGCCGTCTTTGCCGTAGATGCCGAGGTCGATGACGATGCTGATGTTGAAGGGCGTCTTGTCGCCCGGTAGGCGCGGGCTGGTGAATGTCTCGAGCGTGGAGTTGGTCGAGACGATCTTGTAGTAGTATGTGGTGGCGGATGCAAGGCCGTCGATGGTGACCACGTTGGCCCATGTGCGCGATGTCGGGTAGGTGATGGACGAGGTTGAGCAGGATTGGGAGCCGAGGGAGGATGGCGATGTGCCGTATTGCACGCACGGCTGGCTGAGTTGCTGGTAGGTGTTCCAGGCGATGCGGACGGCTGTTGGACCTTGGTGTCAACTACATGCGGTCTTGCTCTATGATGGGGAAAAGGGGGAAGCTCACACGTCGGGCTGTTGATGGCGATGCGGTGCTGGACGGGCGTGGTCAGATCGACAGGAATTGGAGGGTATGTCGCTCCCGCTGCCACACCCAGAGCTAACAAGGGAAGTCCCTTGACCAAGGTAAGGACTAGGGTGTCCATCATAATGACCGTGGTGCCGACGCCGTGCCCGTTGGCAATGAAATTAACCACGTCCAGGAAGAAACACAGAGAGTCGGACTAGGACGATCAAGGCTATGGGGCTCCTCGGTTTATCAATGCCTATGCATCTGTTCCGTCCCCTCACTTCTGCTGGTTATGATGCGCGTCTCGTACCTGACAATAATAGCATGAACTATCACCCATCCGGTTTCGAGTGTTCAAGCTGCTCGAAACCGCTTCAGGGGTCAAGGTCAAGGTCAGGGGAGCCAATGTCAGCGTCGCAGTCGTAGCAACCATCAACTCTCGAACCGGTTATCCAAATGCGATTCGGTACCACATCCCGTTGTTTTCTTTACGCATCCGTCAAGTCCATCTTCAACTGGTGGTTGGCGAGCCGACGAGCCTATGGAATTCTACAACCAGAGACCTCCGCACGTGGTTGGCATTCAAGGCACCGTGGGTAAATCCGTGTAAGATGATTGGTCAGAATGTCTGGCGCTAAACGGTTTTTGGAGGGGACTGATCTGATCAGCGATCTTGGAGTGGTAACCATCACCGTCCGCTACCACCTGAGCCTCCAACAAAAACTTGGAAGGGAAGTGAGCGACAGGGAAGTGAGGGGCTCCGGGAGGGACATTTTTGCTTTTTTCGACGAGAACGACGAGAACTGCTCCAGCGGTTTACGACGTTTGAGTTTCATTCGGATGCACTCGTCAACTTTGTCAACTTGGAAAGATTCCGTGTAAATCTGGAATTTTGGAGGGAACCGCATTCATGATCACCTTAAAAGGTTCCACGGTTCCACGTTCCACGTTCCATTCGGAAGCGTTTGTGGAGTTAATAGCATGGTGATATACTGACAGGGTTTATGATCTCGTTTAGATGGTTGAACGTCTGGGAATTGCTTGTTTGTCAACGTGCTTGCATGGGGGAAAGAACTCATGGCTATAAAGGGCCTTTGGACCTTCCTTTTCTGTGTTTTTTTTGCTTAAATGTGGCCGATTTTCGTGATGAAACCTTTGTGGGACGTTGGGGTCCGGCTTGGAGCTATGTATGGGTTTGTGCACACCGGTTCGACAAAAGGAGGAGAGCCGGTTCACGATGTAACTGACCTTACCCACGTGCTGGAGATCCATCTCGATTACTGGTTGGTGTGTGTCACTACTATTCTTCTGAAACATGCGATGTATGTATACTGCAGGACTTTCTCTACCTTCTTGGCAATACCTTAAACCACGCCTCTTGACAGCCTCGGCGCCTCCATTCCACCATAACAAAAACATAGAGGTACAAACAACGCAGGAAGGCTCACGAACACCAAGGAAACTTCAGAACCTAACAAAAAGAGATTATATAACCACAAGAAATCTACCTAGCCCGGTACGCTTCCTCCAACCCAACCAATTTCACCCCTCACCTCTCCTCACCTCACGTTATCACCCAAATCACCACCCAAAACCAATCCCAAAACCTCCAAAAACCTCATCACCCCTTCCTCCCCAATCCCCACCCCCTTCGCCCACTCCTTACTCCCCTCAAACTCCAAAACCAACACCCCCCTCTTTCTGTCTGGCGTAGCATAAACCTCCGGTCTCTCTCTAGCCGGCATTTCCCTCTCATAGAACCCTATCCCTCCTTTCTCGAATAACCCATTGCCTCCTCCTCCTTCCTCCTCGTTGCTATTACCGGTTGTGCCGGTCTCATCCTCCTGCTGATAAGCAGTCCTCCACCCCCAATCCTTTCCATCATGAACCCAATCCGTACCCCCCAGCCCCTCAATAACCTCTCGCATACCCACCGCTTCGTACTTCGAGTCCTCAATAAACTGCTCCTGCAGTCGCTTGGCGACGCTGCTCAAGGTATCGTCCCCAGAAACAAAAACGCAGACAGGGAGTTCGGTCATCGTAGGCCCTACCACGTTTTGCAGAGTTGCGGGAAGCGCAGATCGGCCGGTTAGGAGACGGCCGAAGAGGAGGTTTCGCTTGCCGAAATAACGGGTGAATGCGAGGGCGAAGGAGGCGTGGAACTGGGTCGCGGGGGAGATGCCGTCTTCGTTTCCATCAGAAAATGAAGGGAGAGGAATGGTGTGGCGAAGGGAGAGGCGGTCGGAGACGGCGGACCAGGTGATGGGTTGGGGCGAGCGGCTCCAGGATGGATAGTGTGAGCCTTGGAGGCGGGTGGCCCAGTATGTTAAACTTTCTTGCTTGCGGGATTCGCGGAAGGCGATGTAATCCGCGAAGGAGGGGGTGGGTGGGATTGGAATTGCTCGCTCCGGCTTGTTGACGTAGAGAGAGGAGAGGGTTTGGAGGACTTGGGACCAGCTGAAGCCGTCGAAGTAGGCGTGGGAAATCCGGAAGATGAGCTTGTGCGAGCCGGAACCGGAGGAGTGTTTGATGGCGATGAAGCGGATGAAGGATTGTCCGAGCTTGCGAGGCCGGGTGAGATCTTGGGCGCAGATTGAGTCGACGAGGTCCGGGAGGTCGTTCACGTCCTCGACGTCAATGGTGTCGTAGGCCGGAGTGAGTTCTCGCAGGATAACTTGCCAGAACTTCCCGTCGTCGTCATCCGCTGCTGAGACGAAGACGCTGCGGAGAATGTCGAAGTGATTCACTAGGTCTGTGCATGCCTGTTTGAGCCGTGCAAAGTCCACGTTGGCGGGGAGATCGAAGATCCAATGGGGATATCTTCCGGGAGGATCTTGTAGGTTTTCCGAGACCGAAAGCGCTTGGAAGTCTGTGGCGGGAATCACGTCCTGGATGTGGTCGATGGTGAGCCCGTCATCCAAGAACGGAACCACCTTGGTTTCCAGGAAGTCTGCCAAATCATCCGTCTTCACCAACGAAAACGGGCTATGCGTAGGTATATCCTCCTCGTGTCCATTGCTCTCCGCCACCACCAATGCAAGGTCGCACAGCTTCGGCGCTCTGAAGATCTCAGCCACCGTCAAAGCCAGGCCCTCCTGCCGCGCCATGGAAACCATCCTCATGGCAGCGATCGACTCCCCACCAATCCGGAAGAAGCTGCTATCAGCCGAGATACTACCCGGTTCAATCTCCAGGACCGACGACCACAATGCCTGTAACCGCTTCTCCATTTCCGTAGATGGGGTCCGTCTGGATTCCACACCTTGTGGTTGCATAGCAGCCAGCTCCTCTAGCGTGTACTTGCTTCCCAGCTGCCTCAGAGCCCGTCGGTCGGTCTTGTTGGTCGTGGTCATCGGCACCTTGTCCACGTAGATGTATGCTCCGGGTACCATGTATTGCGGTACGCGGTCCCAAAGCTTTTCTTCTAGACCTTCAATGGCGCGGGCGAGTCTAGCTCGATTGTCAGCGTCGTCACCCGAGCTTACGTCATCCTTTTCTGCCTTGACAAGACTGAAGAACACGGCAAGAATCGGACTAGTGCTATTAGCAGGCGTGATGATCTCCGCGGCAATGGCTTCGACCAAGCTCGGATCCCCAAGTGAGTTGCGAATATGATACTCCACCTCGCTCAGCTCGATACGTTGGCCGCGGAGCTTGATTAACCCATCCTTGCGACCAATGAAGTCCAGTGACCCATCAGAGTTGTAGCGCAAAAGATCACCCGTCTTGTAAAGCGTGCCTTGTCGTCCTACGTGTCCCGGTGGCGCGCCCTGCTGAAGCCACGACGGACTCCGGATATACGCCGCCGCAGTCTTGGCTTCATCACCAAAGTACCCCTTGCTAACCGCCGGACCTTCAATCAGAAGCTCGCCAATCGTCCCGACGGCAGCGAGTCTATCCGGACGACCCGGTTCAACGAGCCAGGTGTTCGCGCCGTACGGGATACCCACATGGTTATTGCGCGTCTCGGGCGTAAAGCGCGTGAAGGACAGCGCCTGGGCGCACTCAGCAGGGCCGTAGATGCCAATAACGGTATCCGCCTGCGTCCAGCGCGCAACGTCCTTCCCCATGATGGCTTCGCCGCCCATTGCCAGCGTCCGGAGTCCTGGCATGGTAGACGGGTCCAGCGAGCGGGCCACGGAGGGCGTGAAGTAGGTGTAGTCGCAGTTCATGCGGTTGAAAGCGCCGACGATGTCGTTCTTGCGTTCTGTCTCGGAGGGGATGCAGAGGCAGGCGCCGCAGATCAGGCTCTGGAGGTGGTTTGACCAGGAGACGTCGAAGCTGTAGGAGACGAAGTCGAAGACGCGGGTTCCCGAGCGGATGTTTAGGATGGAGGCTTGGTGAGTGGCTGCTGAGGAGAAGTTCTGGTGGGTGGTTACGATACCCTTTGGCGTGCCTGTTGAGCCGCTGGTGAAGACGACATATAGCATATCGGACGGGCTGACCTTGACCGGGATCGGATCAACAGGCCATTCGTGGCTATGAGCTTTATCGACGACAACCACCTCAGCATCCGACAGCCTGCCTGCCAACTCTCGCGTGGTAGCACATGCCAGCAATATCTTGGGGCCAATCTGCGTGACAATGGACTTCAACCGGCCCTCAGGCTGCGTCGAGTCCATCGCGACAGCTGCTGCACCAGCCCTCATGATAGCCAGGGCCGCAACGGGATACCACACTGACTTTTCAAAACAAAGGGGGATGATGGTTCCCGGTCCCGCCCCGAGAGAAACCAGATGCGCTGCCAAACGACTGGATAACCCGTCCAGCTCGGCATAAGAGAGATTACCATCCCAGGCGCAGATGGCAGGGGCGTCAGCAATGCGCTTCATGGTCTTGTCGATGAGGTCGTGGACGCATGCTTCAATGGCTTCGGGCACATTGGCGTTCCATTTCCACAGTTCTTGCACATCTTGCTTGCTCACTGTTGTGATATCCTCGATCTTCTGATCAGCAGGTGAAGTGGATAGCTCGCGGAGGACATGCTCAAACTGAGCAGCTATCCGCTCCATCTGCGCCTGATCAACAACCTTCGAGTCGAAGCTGATCTCCAGCTTTATATCATCCGAGTTGGTCAGCTGGCACATGACCATGACAGCATTGGGGTTGAAGTCATCCAATGACCCATCGCGGCTGGAGATGTACTCCGGCCCGGAAGTAAAGAGGCCATCCTGCTTCGACTCGTCCACATTCTGCAACGCCGGTTGTACCACTGCATCACCATCTCATTAGCACACCTCAATCTGAAAAACAAACCCTCCTCACTAAACCCAAAAAAAAAAAGACTTACCAAGCAAACTATTAAACCTCGTCCCCCTCTCCGCCTCCTCACTAACCCTCCTAATCTCCAACAACTCCGTCCCCTCAAACTCCACCATCGCCAACGCCTGATCCCTAATCCCCTCCAACAGCTCCCTCACCGTCTGCCTCTTCCCATCAAACTTAACCCTCACGGGAACCGCGCTGATCAACGGCGCAACCATCCTCCCCATCCCCTCCAACGGCGCCTGTCTTCCCGTGACCATCGCGCCAAACACCACATCTTCCGCACCCGTGTACCTAGCCGTCAGGATAGCCCAAGCGGCGCGTATCAAGCTGCTGGCTGTTGCGTCTCCTCGCTTGGTCAGGCGGAGGTTGGTCAGATGGCGCTTGACGGTGCTGTCCGCTTTGGGGCGGTAGTCTTGTTGCTCAGCAGGCAGTTCGGGGAAGGGGATCGCTTCCGAGTTGGCGAATTGGGTGCGCCAGAAGGAGTGGGACGCGTCTTGGTCGATGCTGGAGATGTGCTGGATGAAGGACTGGAAGGGGGCGATGGGGCTGGGGTCGGTGATGCCGGCGTAGGCTTTGGTGACTTCAGAGAGGAGAAGGTGCAGGGAGTAGCCGTCGTAGATGGCGTGGTGTTGGGTTATGCAGCAGGAGTGCTCGTCGTTGTTGGTGTTGCTGTTGGTGATAATGGCTAGCCTGGTGAGTTCTGTGGCTAGGCCCATGGGTTTGGCGAGGTCGCGCTGGAGGTGGGTGTCTAGGTCGCTGGATTCTTCCCAGGAAAGGGACTCGTCGACTTGGACTTGGACGAGACCTTCTGTGGGAACGTCTAGGATTCTTTGACGGAGGATGGGTGCGACTGTGCGGCTGACATGTTCCCAGGCGGCCTTGAAACGGTCGAGTTCGATGTCGGGTCTGAGACGGAGGATGTATCTGGCGACATAGGAACCTCCATCCCGGGATTTGGCCGTCCTGTCTCGTGTATTAGTACAATCTCATCGCGGGCTTATAATGTGGTACTTACATGGAAAGCAAAGACTTCTGAACACTGGTTGTAGGGAAGACATCCTCAATCTGCCCCCGCTCAATACCACACTGACTTGCGACGTAGTCCAGCGTCGAGTCCTTGCCAGCAGGGTTCTTGAGGAGCACAAAGGGCTCAATAGTACGAGGCTTGGATGTCTCAACAGCTTCCTTCTGTTGCCTCTCCATCGCCTTCGCCATATCAGACAACTTCGGACTCTGAAGAATACTTTGAACCGCCAGGCTATACCCGTGATTGCGCGCCAACGCAGTCAACCGCATCGCCGAAATCGAGTCACCGCCAAGACGCAAGAAACTGCTGCCGGTACGGATCTTGTCTTCTTCAACACCCAGAATGACACTCCACAATTGCCGAAGGACAATCTCCTCTTCTGTTCCCGGTAGCTCGCCATCTGCCTCATTCCCCTCGCTGTCAGCCTGCTCGAGAGTCATACTAGCGCCCATCTCACGCAACCGTTTCCGATCCGTCTTTCCACTCGTCGTCAACGGCATCGCCTCAACTGGCATAAACGCCGCCGGGACCATGTACGGCGGTAACTGTTCGCGCAAGGCATCCTGTAGACCATCTATCCAGTTCGCAAACCGGACCTCGCTCGAGCCAGTCTCGACAAAGGCCACCAGAACCTGGCTGTTCGTAGCCGACGACACCACAACCTCCGCCACCACCACCGGCGGCGCCTCCCTCCCCAGCTTGCCAGCCAGAACCTGCTGAACAGCCTGCTCAACCTTGGCCAACTCAATCCTCTGTCCCCTCAACTTAACCTGCGTATCCTTCCTGCCGACAAAAACCAGCGTGCCATCAGCCGGGTTATACCTAACCAAATCCCCCGTCTTATACAACCTCGACTTGCTCCTTCCCTTAACCCTCCCATCCGGACTCCCCTTCCTCAACCACCCCGGACTCTCAACAAAGCTCTTGGCCGTTTTGTCAGGATCATTCAGATACCCGTCCCCTACTAGCGGGCCCTCGAGGTAGAGCTCTCCCACCTGCCCTACTTCCACCAGCCGCTCGCTAGACTCGGGGTCGACAATCCATGTACAAGCTGCCACTCCCTTGCCCATCGACAACTCCAACTTACCCCCCTCCGGGCCTGATGACTGAGGAGATATCAACCCATACATAACCATCTGCGTAGTCTCAGTAGGTCCATACACATTAAACACCTTCCTCTTTTCATTAACCATCCACCTCCCCCAATCATCCCTCCCCACCCTCTCCCCACCCAAATACACCATCCCCAACCTCCCCCCTACCCCCTCGACATCCACCGCCTTCGCAACACTCGGCGTCAAAAACGCCATCGTCGCTCCGCACCTCCTTATACTCCCCGTCAAATCCTCCCTCCGTTCCCTCTCGCTGGGTATGCACAATGTGGCGCCACAAGCCAAAGTGTGAAAAACAGCCCAGTGGTGCCCGTCGAAGGTGTGTGCTGAGAAGTCATACACGCGCTCGCGGGGGGACACGCAGATGGCGGAACGTTGGTGGGTGACTGCTGTGCTGATGGAGGAGTGGGGGATAAGAACGCCTTTGGGGGCGCTGGTGGTGCCGGAGGTGAAGACTGTGTAGGCTAGGGAGTTGGGGGGGACTTGGGGGGTGGTAGGGGGTAAGGAAGGGGAGGAAGGGGAGGGGGGTTGTAAAAGGGGTGAGTTAGGGCCGAGGAGTAAGGTGTTGTTGGATAACTTGGCAGCGAGTGTTTGCTCTGCTGGTGAAGAGATGATGAAGGGGGGAGAGACTTGTTGGATGACTGATTGGAGGTAGGACGCTGGGAGGGTGGTGTCGAGAAGTAAGCCGGCGCCGCCGGCTCGGAGGACGGAGAGGAAGGTGATGGTGGCGTGGAGGGATTTTTCGAAGCAGATGGGGATGATCATGTTTTGGCTGATACCCATGTTGACTAGATGGAGAGCGATGTTGCCGGTAATGCGAGCAAGCTCGCCGTATGTGATCTCACCGTCCCAGGCACTGATTGCTATGGCGTCTGGCTGGCGTGAGGCTGTTTCGAGTATGAGCTCGTGTATCGGCCTCTCGACAGTTGGGCAAAGTGAGGAGTTCCACTGCCAGATAAGGTTGAGATCCTCTTGTGTGGCCAAGCTGATGGCGCCGAGGCTGATCTGGCCGTTGATTGAAGAGCACAGGGTCTTCAACAACTTCCCGAAGTCTCGCGCCATTCTCTGGACCTTTTCCCTCCCAAGCACCTCCGAGTCAAAGCAGAACCTGACCCTGAGCCGCCCATCCTCCGGCGTGCAAATCAGCGAAAGTGCGTAAGATTGGAACCCACGATAATGTGCCTCCTCCTCTGCTTCCGTGCGCTCGGCATCTTCAGAAACGAACAACCCTGACTTCGTGCTTTCCTCTTGCGGTGCCTGAACGACGACTAGTGTTTGAAACTGACAAGCCAGTCGCGCTTCCTCGCTGATTTGGCGGATTGCTGATAAACCCGTCTGTTCGTACCTAATCATCTGCGTCTCCTGGGTCTGGATGGATGTGAGAAGCTCTGTTATTTTCCTGTCGTTGCTGGTCTTGACATGAACAGGAACAGTGGCAATGGTAGGGCCAGGAAGCGTCTCGATGCCATGCACAGGGGCCTTGCGACCGGAAGACACAGCGCCAAAAACGATGTCGGGAGATGTTGGGCTGGAATGGAGAGAGCAAAGCAAAGCGGATGCGGCGCGAACCACAGTGGATGAAGTAATGTTGTCCGTCCGCCAGGTGATGTCTTCGACCGTGTGGACTAGTGTCGAATTTGATTGAGGTTGGTATGTAGACGATGGCAGAGCAGGGAATGGCGCAGCTTTGAGGTCGGCGAACTGCGTTCTCCAGAACTCGGTTTCTGCGATTTTGTCCCGCGTGCCAATGTAGTTAACGAATGACTGGAAGGGAGCGAGACGGGGTGGTGCAAGATCATTATAGAAACCCTCAAGCGTTTCCATGATGATGGGCAATGTTAACCCGTCGTACAGGGAGTGGTGCAGGGTCAGGACAAAGGAGGCGGGCTCCTGACCGTCGATCTGAGGCTCAATAATTGCGCATCGCATGAGAGGCGTACCCAGACCCATCGGGGGCTGGTTCTCCTTCCTCAGGTATTCTTCGATATTTGTCGCTTCAATCCACGACTGGGAATGGTCGTGAACAACCACCTGCACGAGACCTTGCCCATCGAGGTCAACGATGCGTGTGCGCAAGATGGGGATCGCCGAAACAACGCTGTCCCACGCCTCCCTAAACTTGGCAACATCAACCGCCGACGCCAGCTTCAGCACATTCCGACCTGTATAACTCCCCTCGCTCTTCATAGTCAAAGCCAGCAATCCCTCCTGCAAAGCTGTGCACGGAAAGATATCTTCAACATCATCTCCCTCCACTCCGCAAAGGGACGCAGCCCGCTGACAAGCGAGCTTGATGTCCTGATTCGGATCCAGCAGTGAGAAGGGGAGGACTGCGGCGTCTTCTTCACCCTCGTCTTCTTTTTTTCGAATGATGACCTTGGCCATTTCTTCCAGGGTTGGATGCTCGAATACCTCCGCCACAGAAAGCAGCCAGCCTTCCTGACGAGCTATTCCTACCAGACGCATGGCTTGGATGGAGTCGCCGAGTTGTAGAAAGCTGTCGCCTACGGAGATGGGCTGGGCGTTCACTCCGAGGGCACGGGACCATAAATCCTGTAGGGTCTTCTCTTCGAGAGTGGTAGGCTCTCTACGGCCACTGGTGGTTGTCTGGCGGGATGGATTGAACGAGGCGCCGATCTCGTGGAGACATTTGCGGTCGATTTTGCCTGAGATGTGGTTAGCAAACAGAATGGGACTTGAAAAAGAGAGGCGATGTCTTACCAGAAGCATTCATAGGAAACTCCTCCACAGCAATATAATACCCCGGAATCGCATAACTCGGCAACACCCTCATCAACTTCTCCCTCAACCCCACCGTTGCCCTCTCAACCTCCTCCTCCGTAGCCGGCCCAACAAACGCAACAAGATTTAGCCCCGTACTAGCCTGCAGCTGTATCCCATCCACCACCACCGTCACCTCTCCCTTCTCCCCCACCGTTGCCATACCCATGTTCAAATTCCTCCGCACATGAAACTGCACCTCCTCCGGCGCCACCAGCTGCCCGCGTATCTTCAACTGCACATCCTTCCTACCCATATATACCAGATTGCCCATACTATCATACCGCCCCAGATCGCCCGAGTAGTACAATCTTGTCGTACTCTTTCTTCTTCCGGTAAGGAACTCCGCCCCCCTCCTAAACCTCTCCCCCGTCATCTTCTCATTTCCCACATACCCCTCCGCACACAACGGTCCCTCAATAACAATCTCCCCAACCGCCCCATACGGAACCAGCCGGTGCGGATTCCCAGAATCAACAAGCCAGCAAAGCGCCGGCTGCCTAAGATCAATCCGACTAACCACGCCCGTGCGCCAGGAGGCGACGTCCGCGGCGCAGATAGTGGCCGGGTGCTCGGCTGGTCCGTACCAGTTCAGCACTGGACAGATACCCGCCCAGCGGTTGACGTCATCCTCTGATAAATTTTCTCCTGCCAAAACGAGGGTTTCGATAGTAGGCACGGAGTTGGGGACAATGGCCTTGGCGGTAGAGGGCGTGATATTCACAAAAGTGCATCGAAACCGGTTGATAGCGGCCGTGGTACCATCCAACCGCTCGGATTCGGAGGGGATGCAGATGCAGGCAGCGTGGATGAGGGCCGAGAGCGACTCGATGGTGCTGACGTCGAAGTCGTAGGAGGCGAACTGAAAAATGCGCGAGGAGGGGGTGATGGAGAGGTAGGAGCCGTGGGCGAGGAGGTTGGCGGTTAGGGTGCGGTGGCTCCAGAGGACTTGTTTGGGCTCGCCGGTGCTGCCGGAGGAGACGAGGATCGCGGCGGGGTCGTGGATGGTGATGGTGGGGAGGGGAGTGGTGTTGGGTTGGGAGAGGGACATGAGCTGGGAGATGGTGTAGCTGGGGGCGTATTGGGAGACCATTTTTAGACGGGATTCGGAGACGGCGGCGAGAACGACTCCGGCCATTTTGAATACTCTGCTGATGCGGAGGTCGGGGACGACGGTTGAGAGCTGGACTTCGATGCCTCCGGCTTTGAAGATGGCGAGTTGGAGTACTGGTGCCCACTTGGTCTTTTCGAAGTTCAGTGCGACAACGTTGCCCTTCTTGACACCCAAGTGTATCAAGCTCCGGGTGAGCTTAGTGGAAAGCTCGTCAACTTCCTTGTATGTGAGCTGCCCATCCCATGCATCAATAGCAACAGCATCCGGCCGTGTACGTGCCACCAGAGAAACCAGGTCATGAACACATGCCTCAGGGTCTTCGGGGACTTCTACATTCTGTGACCAAAAGAGGTCCAAGTCATCCGAGCTGGCAATCTGAACGGCGTCAAGTGTAGCCGCTGTATTGCTCTCTGAGCACATCTGCCGAAGAACCGTCTCAAACTGTTTGGCCATACGCTCTATCTGCAACTTGTCGATAATATTGCCATCAAAGCTCATACGAAGCTGCAGCCCCGACGTTGAAAGCTCACAAACCACCATCAACGCCCAGCTGTTGAAGGGATCATGGCCCAGAGTGTCCATGTTGGACGAAAAGTCACGAGCTTTGAACAGGAGGTTGTCTTCATTGAAGTTCTTTCCTTCGGCAACTGGTTGCACGACGAGCAGTGTCTGAAGAAGTCGAGACTCAGCCAGTTCCTTATGAAGACGTTGGATGTTCTGAAGGCCGTATTGCTCGTGCGATGTGATCTCTATCATTTGCTGTTGCATGCGCTTGAGGAACGCTTCGACGGTCTCGCTCCAGTCAACGGACACTGCGATGGGCACTGCAGATATAGTAGGACCGACGCAGTTTTCCACGCCTCTCATATTGGCTTGCCTTCCACTGACTGTCAAGGCAAATATGACATCGTTGGAGGACGTGTACTGAGTAGCTAAAATGGCCCAAGCGGCGCGGATCATGGTTGAAGGCGTCATGCCGGTCCGTGGCCAGTTGAGTGAGATGGAATGTTGCAAGTCATCCTTGGCCTGTGTCTGGTAAGTGGCCGAGGGGAGGACCGGGAACTGTCTGGGCTCGCCCTTTGAGAGCTGAGCCTTCCAAAAGTCGACGGCTTCTTGTGGGACCTTGTCGCTTAAATGCTTGATGAAGTTCTTGAACGGTGTGACTGTCATCCCGGGAGCTCCAAAGTATTGAGACTCTAATTCGTTCATGATCATCTTGAGCACTTGGCCATCGTATATGGAATGGTGGGCTGACAGGATGAAGTGACGATCAATAATGGCGGCTCGGCAAAGCTCGGTGCCGGGGCCCATGTGATTCTGCTCATCTTCATGAACATAGGCATCCACATCTGTCCCATAAAGTAGGGGACAGTTATCGAGAACAACCTGCACGAACCCTTGACCAGGAAGGTCCACGATTCGAGTTCTGAGAGCAGTCAACTTGTCAACCGTGGACATCCAAGCTTTCTCCAGTTGTTTTGTGTCAATGCCAGGCTGAAGCTCGAAGGCACTGCGAGATACGTAAAGACCAGGTTTTCTGGCGCCCAACGCAAGCAGTCCTTCCTGAAGAGGGGTAACAGGGTAGATATCAACAATCCGAGCCTCATCAATGGCACACAACTTGGCGGCGAGAGACCGAGCCTCGGTCTCATTGACGCCAGAGTCAAGCAGTGAAAAGGGAGGCACTTCAAGCTGCTGTTCCGGAGAATCACAGTCTTGCTTGACCCGGATCGCCATATCTTGAAGGCATGGAGCTTCAAAGACATCGGCAACTGTCAAGAGGAGCCCTCGTTTGCGGACGGCTGCTACTAAGCGCATAGCAGCAATGGAGTCACCGCCTAGACGCAAGAAGTTGTCTGTAGCATTGATCACACTTGATTCAATGCCGATAACTTCGGCCCAAAGCTCTTGAAGTTGCTTTTCCATGATCGTGGAAGGCTTTCTCGCCTCCTGACGAGAGGGCTGCATGGATGCCAGCTCTTCATACGTCAATGAGCCCCCAATCTGTCGAAGGCGTCGTCTGTCCATCTTTCCAGTGTGAGAAATAGGAAGAGTCTGGATGGGGATATAGACTTTGGGGATCATGTAGGAGGGCAGGACTCTGGATAGATCTGTCTCTAGGTCGTCCACAGGGAATCTGAGCTTGACCAGGGCCAAAGCATCCTCTTCTGAGCTCGAAGGGCTAATGAATAGAGCCAAAATCTCGACATTGCTGTTGGTCGGGGTGATAATCTCGGCCACCACCGAGACTTGGAGCTTTCCGGACAAGAAAGACTGCACTCGTGACTCGATCTCGCTCAGGTCAACTCTCTGTCCGCGTAGTTTCCTTTGGGATTCCTGCAATCGGCCGATGAATGCGATGTCCCCATTGCCATTGTACTTGACCAGATCGCCCGTTCTGTAGAGGCGTCCAGGCCGGCCAGGTACCTCACCATGACCGTGCTGAAGCCAAGCCGGCGAGAAGAAAGACTTTTCGTTCAGAGCAGCGCCGCTGTCGCCGGTATAGGCACCTAGGATCGGGCCTTCCATACACAACTCGGCAACCGCACCAATAGGGGCCAGACGGTTGGGATCTCTAGGGTCAACTAGCCAGGTCAAGCCGGACGTGCTTTTGCCGATCAAAGCTGGCTTCCACGCCTTTTTGTCCACGCGGCACGAAGTAGCAACGGAAGCCTCAGCTGGACCGTACCAGTTGTACACCGAATCGAGGGACTCAGCCCACTTAGAAGCGGTCTTTTGCGGCAGCTTTTCGCCTGCAAAGACGATGGTCTTCAACGAGGGGACTGTTGCACGGACGAGAGTTTCGGAAACCGAGGGTGTCAGACAGATCCAGTTGGCGTGAGTGTCATTGATGGCTCCGGCCAGACGGTTGGTCCTGTCCGATTCAGACGGGACTATGCAGCACGCGCCTGAAGCTAAGGCGGAGAGGGCTTCGACCGTGCTCACGTCAAACTCGTATCCAGCAAATTGGAATATCCTGCTGGTCGGAGTGACACTGAACGAGAGGCTGTGTGTCCGGATGTTGGTCGATAGAGCGGCATGGGTCCAGAGGATGGACTTTGGAGTTCCTGTCGAGCCGGATGTGAAGAGGATGAGGGCTGGGTCCGAAGGTAGTATCTCAATGGGATCGAGAACATGAACCCAGTCAGTAGATTCAACATCATCTTGGATCAGGCTGGAAACAGGGTACACCGGCACGATCCCTTCAAATGGAGCCAGGTCCGAAGCAGCACTTGAAGTGATGACGAGCTTGGGCTTTACAGCCTCGACCACTTCGCGGGCACGCTGAGGTAAAGTAGGTGCGGAGAGTGGCATAACAACGGCACCGAGCTTGAGAGCAGCGAGCATGGTGACAAGCTGCCAGCCCGATTTCTGAAAGCTCAACACGATGATGGATCCCTTGCTTATGCCGTGGTCTTGACGTAAACGGTGAGCAAGGAAGGTCGACAAGTCTTTAACCTGACGGTAGGTAAACTCCTTGTCCCACGCGGCAATGGCTGTGGCGTCTGATAACAGGGCATCAATGGTCTCCGTCACAAGGCCCTCAACGGGTTCAGGGAGGGCTCTGTTCCAGTCCCATATCTGGGCGACATCCTGGGGACTGAGGGCTGTGATATCGCGTAGCTTGGACTGGGCCAGGTCGGCCGAACAGAGTTGACGGAGCAGGTGCTCAAGCTGGAGCGCCATACGTTGGACAGCCGTCTCCTCGATGATGGCCGAGTCAAAATTGATGTTGAGGGTCAGACCGTTGTCTTCCAACTGGACGATGACCATGACGGCGTACGAGTTGTACATGGCCAGACTGTCGGCGTCGCCATCCTTGGCCACCCATGTCAAGTGTTCGCCAACAACGCTCTTGGCCTGGGAGAAGAGTCCCTGAGTGTTCTTTTGCGGTGGCTGGATGACGAGCAGCAGCTGGAACTGACTGGCCTCGGCGACGTCTTGACTGATGCGCCGGATATTCTGGAGGCCATATTGTTCATGGGCGGTGACCTCAATGGCCTGCTTCTGGATCTGTTGCTGTAATTGCTGAACGGTCTGATCCCAGTCGAACTTGACGCGGACGGGAATGGTGGCAATGGTTGGACCGGCGATGCGGTCGATGCCCATGACGGGAGCATTCCTTCCGCTGACTGTCTCGCCGTACTTAACGTCGTTGGAGTTGGTGTGGGCGGCTAGCAGTAACGAGAGCGCTGAACGGACTGCTGAAGAGGGTGTGATTCCCGCCTTGGCCGGCCACTGTAAGCCCGCTATCGAGTGATGCAAGTCCACTAAAGCTCTCTTTTCAGCGCTGTTCGCAGTGTTAGTGACCGCTGGAAATACAGCAGCCTCCGAGTCTGCCAGCTGGTCACGCCAGAATGCCACAGTGTCTGACCGGCTGTCACCAGCTGCAGAAACGGCGTGCTTGATAAACCGCTGATAAGGAACAAACGACTGTTCCTCCAACTTCCCTCCTTCACGATACGCCTTCTCAACCGCGTCCATGATCAACGAGTTGGAAAACCCGTCGAAAATTGCATGGTGCATCTCCAAGGCAAAGTAGCACGGCTCGCCTTCTCTTGCCACGATCAGGCCTGCGCGACACAAGAGAGTGCCCAAGCCCATTGAAGAGAACTCAGCAAAGAAGTCGGCCATGGACGAGCACCTGGAGAGCGACTCGTTGGACTTGACGACCACCTGGACAAGTCCCTCGCCGGGAAGATCGATGATACGCGTCCGGATGATGGTTGCTTGCTTAGTGGTGCTTTCCCAGGCCGCCTCGAGCCGCTCCAGGTCAATATCTCCCAGTGCAAAGACAGTCCTCGAGACATACTCTGCTCCGTCTGCCAACATGCCTTCCTGTAGTGAGGTTACCGGAAAGACATCTTCGACCTCGTCTGGGTTGATACTGCAGAGCTCAGAGGCTACTTTCCGGACACTATCGACGTCTCTTTTCACCGTCAGCAGCGAGAACGGCCGAGTGTCGAGATCCTCGTCTTCGTGTCCGTGAGCTTTGGAGTCAGCCACCAGGGCAAGATCGCTTAACACCGGGCTGGTGAAGACATCAGCAACAGACAACGAGATGCCATGTTCCCGTGCCGCCGCAACCACTCGCATGGCACCAATCGAGTCACCTCCCAGCCGGAGAAAGTTGTCTGCTGTGCTGATGCGAGTCGGGTCCAAGCCCAAGACATCAGCCCAGATCTGGCGGAGCCGTGTCTCTGTGCCGGTTGTGGGTTCATGGTACTCTGTCGCCGTCATGATGGTTGATTGTAGCTGGACAATCTCCTCCCAGCTCATTGCGCTTCCCATATCTCTTAGGCTTCGTCGGTCCACTGCTTGTTGTTAACACTGACCTCTAATAGATTGAGGATTTGACAGGGCGAGTTGACATACCTTTTCCTGTACTGGCGACAGGAATCTCGTCAATCGGCAGATAGACGCCGGGGATCATGAATCCTGGCAGAACCTCCCGCAACTTATCTCCCAAGCTTTCCATCAGATTCTTAACCCTCTCGCCATCTTGGTTCTTTGTCACCACAAAGAGAGCAAGAGAGTTTGTTTCAGTGTCCTTAGGCACGACAACGTCGACAATGATGATAAGTTCATCATCCAGACAGGCGCGTACATGGTGTTCAACGTCCCCAATCTCCACTCTTTGTCCCCTGATCTTCAGCTGGGACGAGTCTTTACGACCCACAAACATCAATCGCCCATCAGGCAGGTACTTGACAAGGTCACCCGTCTTGTAGAGCCTACCTTGCCTGCCACCAGCGACTAGCCAAGGAGGATCCTCAACAAATGCTTCGGCTGTCTTCTCCACGTCATTCAAATACCTCTGGCCAACCTGAGGGCTCTCGAGCCATAACTCTCCCTCTGATCCTATGGGGACAAGTCGATCATTATCGACCGGATTAACAAGCCACGTAGCGAAGCCGACACCTCTTCCGATATCCGGACGACCCTCCAATGAGGGGCTTATATCGGCAAAGGCACACTTGAAGGTGCACTCCGTCGGACCATACGTGTTGACAAGTCTCACCTTGCCAGCCCATTTCGTCATGTTCTCGCGATACGGCATCTCGCCGCTCAAGAGAACCGTCTCCAGACATTCTGGAATAGGATGGATGGTGCGCAAGACCGTGGGAGTGACGTTGATCAAGGTCGCGTTGAAGACCGTCACCGCCGAGGACAGATCTGTCAACATGTCCTCTTCAGATGGGATACACAGCGTTCCGCCAGCACATAGGGTATGGAGAAAGTTACCCCATGCGACATCAAACGAGTAAGGAGCAAAGTCCAGGACGCGGGTGTTCGAGTTGAAGCCCAGCTTGGCGCCTTGGTAGTGGGAAGCGCTTCTGACGTTGGCATGGCTGATGCAGGCACCTTTGGGTTGGCCCGTTGTACCCCTATACCAAGGTCAGTTGAGAAATCACTTATAGCAGGCTTCGGGATTACATACGAAGTAAACGAGATATACGCAATATCTGCTGGCGATACCACAGGCAACTCAGCCAAGTTCTCTTCAGCGCCATCTTCCAAGACCGCCTCATCAAGCTGAAGCACAGGCACACCCGCCAAAGAAGCTGCCCTCTCCCGATGCGTCTCAGACGAGATAATGATCGCAGGCCGCGCCTGCTCCACGATCGACCTCAGCCTCGTATCAGGCTGAGTAGCATCCAGAGCTATGGCACTGCACCCCGCCTTCAACACAGCCAGCATGGCCACGGTCGTCCATTTGGACTTGGAGAACAAGAGGGGAATGCTAGACCTCTGGACGATTCCATGTTGATGGATGATGAGCTTCCGGGCAACCTTGGTCGCTATGGCGTCGAGTTCCGAGTAGGTGAAATTTCCGTCCCAGGCGCATACGGCCAGGACATCCGGCTGCCGTTCGGCGTGAGCGGTGATCTGATCGTGGATGCAGCCTTGGATCTGGTCCGGCACGGAGGCGTTCCAGGCCCAGATTTGACCGAGGTCTTCGGGACTTGCTGAGGGAGATGCCGTGTGGTTGTCATCCTCCGGATCTGAAGCCCGAACAGATTCCATCGGGGGCATGGCTGAGCTGTCAAAGTCGTCTTTGCTTGGTATCGCCATGATGAAGCTCAAGCCAGGTAGTTGAGGTAGGTATCCAATATCGTGGTGTCGAATCTGTCAAATCGCTTTCGAAACGGAAACTCGTGGTCTCCTAGGTACGCTGTAAGAGAAGCACCAAAGCCCAGCGAGACCACAACTGTCCTATACCGGATGTATGACTTGTGTCCTATTTTGCTCAAAACAGTTCCATTTGTCCGCAAAACAGTGGTACGTAAGACTAACACGCACTTCATTGCGCTACGTACTACGAGATGCCTCTCGACGTGAGGCTCAGTCACCCCTCGGGGAGAAGCCACTGCTGATCACCGTCACAGCGTAATCCTACGGTGGATTTCTGGGGTGTTCAGTGGTCACAGTGCCCAAAGTCGTCGAATCCAAGCCGCTGGAGTGGATTTCTTTAGCGTTGCAACATAGGAATCCTTCCACAAGTGCTACGACGCTGACAGCACTATACTAGAGGTACCTATGTATTATGGTGATATGGGTAAGTGCTGTCCCATGTAACCCGATCGACCGAAATCTACTATGCACCAAGTTTACCCTTCAGCTACCCCGTCGTTGTCTATCATGCTACGTTTTTGTAAAGCCGAGTGGGTGAGCTGAACCCCTTCAGAATTTTTATATGTCTCCGGGCCCATGATCCCTGTCGCTCATCCAGACCGATCAAGTTTTTGAATTGGGGGTTGTTTTGCGGTTTTGAGCGAGGGTTTTGGTTTCGGATCCAACTCCGGTCGCTGACGATCACTGACCATACGAATACTTACATGAAGCTTTGCTTGTAGTGGTCCATGCCAGATACCTGACAAGGGGGTTTTACTTTTGCTCGCAACCGCATAGCCAAGGCCGAGAATACACGTGCGTACCTATGCAACTGCACCGAACGACAACACGGCACTGCTATGAAGCCTTAAAATCGTAGGAGCAAACCCAGAAGATGAGCGTCGTAGGATCTCCGTGATATTTTCCTCATCCTCACCATCCATCCAATTCTCCTGTTTGTCCGTATTCCCCAGAAACTCAGATCCTCCCAATTCATGTTCCCTTCCCAAACCACCACCTCACCATGGCCACCACCACCCAACTCGACTTCTCCCTCTTCCACAGCGCCAACCCAACCGTCCGCACCTCCTTCTGCAAGAAACTCGTCACCACTCTCTATCAAAATGGTTTCGCCAGGCTAATCAACCACGGCGTTGTTCCCTCGTCGGAAATCGACAAGGCTTTTGAAACCGTACGTTCTTCATCTTCACTCTGCCATCCCGTCTTTCTAGTCCCCTCTCCAGTCCTCACCAAAACTAATCCTAGGTAATAATCATCCAGAGCCGCAAATTCTTCCACCTCCCCCTCTCCCAAAAACTCCTCTCCCCCCACCCCGCCTCCGTCCACCCCCACAGGGGTTACTCGGCTTTCGGGATCGAGAACGTCTCAGCCGCATCCAAGACTTTTGAGAGTGATTCACCACCAATCCCGATGCTTAAAGACATGAAAGAATCCTACGACATGGGTTCCCCGCTCGACCCGCTTTACGCCAACATTTGGCCTCCTGGGGGGGTGTACGATGATTTCCAGAAAGTGATGGAGAGGTTTTTTGGGGTTTGTTATCGGGCGGAGTTGGAGGTTTTGGAGGCTTTGGAGGTTGGGTTGGGGCTGGGGCTGCTGGCTGGAAGTGGAAACGGGGGTGGGGGTGGGGGGGGATTAAGGGACTTGCATAGGGATGGAACGAATGAATTGCGATTGACGCATTATCCGCCTGTTAGGGTGGGGGAGTTTGGGGGGTTTGGGTTTGGATCTGGGGGGGAGGACGACGGGGATGGGAAAGGAAACGAAGCAAGGAAGACGAGGATAGCGGCCCATACGGACTTTGGGAGTGTGACGTTGTTGTTTCAGGATAGTGTTGGGGGACTTCGTAAGTTATTTCTTTCTTTCTTTCTCTTCAAAGCGAGTGACGACGGAGAATGGATGGTTGGCTAACAAACGAAATCCCCCCAAAACAGAAGCAGCCCTCCCCCCCAAATCCTCCAACTTCATCGAGATCGAATCAGGAAACCCGCACGAGATCATCCTGCTCGTGGGCGACTGTCTCGAGAAGTTGACGGGGTTGCCGGCGTGTAGACATCGGGTGCATTTACCTGATGCGCTGAAGACCGAAAAAGAGGGAGAGGAGGGGGAGGGAGAAGTGGACGCGAGGTTCAGTATTGCGTACTTTGGGAAGCCGGATAGGGAGGCGAGTTTGAGGCCTTTGGTGGAGGGATTGGTGAGAGAAGGAGTGGAGAAGTACATGACGGCCGGAGAGTTTCAGGAGATGAGGATTCAGGGGACTTATTAGGTAGGAGGTCAACGGTTTGACACCTTATAGAGATGCTTCGGTAAAAGAAACAAAAGGAGAAAAGGAGGAGGTACCTACCTAATCATGTAGACAACGTTGAAAGAGCAACAAACAATGGAAACGAGTCAAAAATGTGTTCAAAAATCCCGTCTATACCTCTACACTCATCCTACATTTAGCCATAGAAAGATATGTACTTACCTCTATACATGGGGCAGAGAGCGGAGGGTGGAGAAAAAGAAGACGACGTACGGATGCGAGAGAGATATCAAAGCGTCTGGGGATATACTGGACCATCAATTCCTCGACCGGATTAATGCACTTGGCTATGGGAACGGTAGCCAGGAGAACGAGGACTCTACGGTCGTGGGTGAGCAACTCCGATAGAAGAGTGCTGCCTCGCTTGACGGAGGATAGCAACGACAACATCGAGCCATTGGTGCCGTTCTTGTTGGTATCATCACCCCCATCGCCGTTCAACAACGGCCCCTCTTCAGAATCCTCACCAGCCTCACCAACTTCACTATCCCCACCACCACCACCCCCCTTCTCTTTATCCTTCACACCAGGCATCACTCCCAAAACCCCCAAACACCCCACCCCAAGCGGGAAATTCAGCCCCATCGCGACCTGCCTCAATGTATATTAGTCAAGACCAGGAGATTCTGCTCAGATCATCAATCAAGAGATCATCGCTGTTCATGCCAGACTTCATTCATCATTGCGTGACTGCCTCGAGCACGCAACACACGCTAACAAACTTTCCAGCATTGATCTGTACTGTAGTACGTGCTAGAGCTTGGCATTCAGATCTACTAAGCCATTTGAATCTTGGGGCCTTCGAAGAAGTGGGTGCCACTATTCCCATTCTTCTTTAAAAAAAAGCCGATCGTCCTCGAGAAGTGCGCGCAATAATAGAGGACTTTGATATAAAATTCTCAAAACAAGCTCAACGAGCCTATAGTAAGCCGAGCCATTCCCACACTCAAGCACCTTGACAGTTGCCAAGACTTCCCGAGAATTGAGCTGACGACAACTTTTTGGCAAACGGACCTTTGAAACGAAAAGAACAAGACTTCATTTGCCCATATCTCCACCACATGAGGGGATGAAAGAAAACTGATTCTAGATTCAACATCAGCGTGCTTGAAACTATCAAGATAGCACTCTTTCTGATAGGATAATTGAGTTTCTTGATTTTCGTCTTTCGTTTCGATGGTCCGTTTGTTAAAAAGTTGTGGTCAGCTCAATTCTCGGGAAGTCTTGGCAACTGTCAAGGTGCTTGAGTGTGGGAACAGAGCCGAGCCGAGCTGGCCTCCATGTGGGGACGAGCTAGAGCCGAGTTAGACCTCAAGCTCAGCTCGGCTCGGCTCATTGGGAGCACTGATCCAAACTGCTTTGGGGGGACGACGGATAGTGGCTATACTTTTTGAAGTCAACATATGCACCTTAAAGTTTTTGGTCACAACTCCAGGTGACCGCTTTGCCCTGTTTAGCGCAGTGCGGCTGAATAGGTAGGTCCCCGAAGAGTTACGCAATAGATCTTGTTAGATGTGACGGTGCAGAATTGATTGATTGAAGAGTGTGTAATTAACTCGCCCAGAAGGTATGGGGGGTGCTGGGGTAACCTAGATATGCCTAGAAATCAAGCAATATTAGGCGGCTGGAGCGCTAACCTCTATATGGTATGGCTAAAACCACCCTTGAATCTGACAGATCTTGCATGCGCTAATCGGGTTTGATCTGAGATCGACGACCGGGGTGGATCGACCCAAACCTCTGGACCCTGACGAAATCATCCAATATCCCAGCTCGTTGACGCATCGTGGTCGGAGTAGAAGCCTGAAGCCTTCAGATTTCAGAAGTCTCCACGACAATAGAAGATGACCCATTTTGCTAAACTGCTTGAGGGATGGGCGGCGCACTGGGTGGATGCCTTGGCTGTGCACAACTCTAGAAGTCTTCCCGTCCCAGAACGAAGTCTTCACGCGCACGCGAGCCGATCACGCCCTTCGATTGGTGGATGCGTGTGGGAGGAGCTACCGTGGTGAAGGTGTGATGTGTTGAAACCTGCATCTCGTACAGGCCCAAAGCTATCCGGAAAGGGCAAAGCTGAAGAGAATCGTGGAGCTTGAAGATGCATCGTTGAGAGCTGAAAAGTCTGCTGGCTTCAAAAAGCTCAACTAGCTCCAGGGCGCCGGAGAGACAGCATGGTGAGTGGCACTGGCGATGCGCTCGAGGGAAGACAAAGAAGATGAAGGAATGAAGTTGGTAAATTTGGTGGTGGTGGCGCCTGGCATAGTTGAGGTCCTTCCGGTTTTGCTTGGGATGGACAAGGGAAAGAAGCACCCAAGACTCTTCTTTCTTCAGGTCGTGTCAGAGTCTCGGAGCTGCCCTGTTGTGCGTTGACAAATATTCCTCCATTCGACCTCATTCCTCAAAAGTGGAGGCCGGGATGACTGAAGATGTCGTCAACATCAACCACACCATTCATCACCACGCTACAGCGGATCAAGATTCTGCGGTTGCCTCATGTAAACAGGTAGCATGCCGCGAACAACCAGGGGCCAGGATCTCTGAGACATCCCCGTGGGTGACGAGAGAATCTTAGGTGAGCTTGGTGACACCTTCAGCATATCTTTGCCGTATGGAGAAGGTAAGGTCAAGGTGGACGCTTTGCAGCGGTTGTGGACTGATACTAGGCGTCTCGTCAGAGCACTATGTACCAAGTCACACTGTGTTTGTTTACAGCCGTTCAGGGGCATCATGAACTCTCTCGTGCCGTAGAGGTACATGCTGCCTCTTTGGGCCATGATCGGTTGACTTATAACAGAATGGTACCTTTAAGCTATCACGATTAGCTCAACTCCCTATCGGATAATCTTTCCTACCAGAATCACCCAACATTCGCCATGGACTCACCCCCATCCTCCCCTCCCCTCTCCGCCACGGGCGAAACACCATTCGCGGTAGCCCCAGACCGTCTCACCTTCATCGGCGGCGGCCACCTCGCCCAGGCCTTTGTTGATGGCATCTACGCGTCCTTCTCAACCAGCAACAACGGCAATAGCATCTGGAAACATCGCAGCAGCAGAAACAAGCCATGTCCCATAACCATCACCGCCCGACGGCCCGACCACCTCCGCCACCTCCAAACCAAATACCCCCTCGCACACATCACCCTTGACAACCTCGACCCCCAAATCTGGGAGGAGAAGCCCGAAAATAGCACGGAAAAAGAGGACTACCACCACGTCCTCTTCATCTGCACCCTCCCCCGCGACGTCCCCTCCGTCTGCCTTCAAATCGCCCCAGCCATCGCCTCCATTTCTTCTCCAAGCGCAAGGCCGACGATAGTAACCATGTGCCCGGGGATCTCCGTGGCGCAGCTGCAGAGCTGGTTACCCGCCGGCACGCCGATAGTGCGGTCGATGCCGAACCTACCTGTTACCGTGCGCGAGGGGGCCACGGGATTGTTTCCCTGCGAGAATGCGAGACGGGGAACCAAAAGAACGGTCCAGGTGGTGAGGGACGTGATCAGGTTGGTTAGTCCGGCGGCGGTGGTGTTGGGGAGGGAGGAGGAGTTGGATGTTGTTGCTGCTATTTCTGGGTAAGACGGTTTCTTTTTTTTTTTTTTTTTTTTTTTTTCTCTTTCTGTTTTTTTTTTCTGATCATGAACAACGAACGTGAACGAGAAAACGAATGGCTGACATTTTGAGGGGGACTTACCAGATCCGCACCGGCACACTTTTACTTTTTAATCGAATCGCTCGTTGCCGCTGCCGAAACCCACGGTCTAGACCCCGAGACGGCGCGCGAGCTGGTGGTGCAGTCGTGCTTGGGATCGGGCATGTTGTCGAAACGATACTGCGATAGACCAGTTTCGGTGTTGAGGAAAGAGGTGTGCGTGCCGGGAGGAAGCACGGAGAAGGCGATTAACCATATGATGGATGGTGGGTTTCCGGGCTTGGTGGGGGAGGCGGTGACGAGGAGTTGGAGGGCGAATAGGGAGATGAGTCGGGTTGAAAGGAATTAGAAAGGAAAGTCCTTGGGGAGTATATGATAATGTAAAGGCATTGTGCGGATGAGGATAGTAGGATAATGGCATCCACTGATTGATGACTGAATGACTACCTTACCCAGTGTCGGTGAAAGAAAAAAATGAAATGCCAGGCTTTACCAAAATCAAGTCCTACACCATAAGCCATAAGGTTTCATCGTCAGAGCAGAGAAAGTAAATGGTGCACGACAAAGTGCCGCTGATTTCCTGTATTTCTTCCAGACCGCGGGGCTTTCTCCCTCTTCTTCTCTTCAAAGTTCAACCTCCAATCAACTACAATTTCACCACTTTGGTTGGTTCGCCTCTTACCGGTCTTTACCCCGGGGTAGTAAGCCGTGTATAACTGGTTGAGACACCGTTCATATCAAGGTACCGTACATAGAAATAAACCTACTACAATCTCGTACAATAAAAATCAACTACTTATATAATAAACGGCTCAGACAGGTGGCAACAACTAACAATACACTTGGTTAATAATTATAGCCGTTTGTGCAATCAACAACTACATTAACTAACTGTTTAATAATTCATTAACTAACCAAAACAATCATTAAACAACATAAATATTCACGGTATCAACTGGTAATAGATACAACGGCGGTTATATAATTCACTAAACCAACTAATAATCGAATAAACTGGATTATAATCGATATATTTTTTCACTAATTAACAAAAGCACCAATTAACAAAAAGACTAATTATTAGAAAAACTAATTAATAATACTAATAATTAATAAGAAGACTAGTTGAAAAGAACACTAATTAACAACACTAATAGTTAACAATACCAATAGTTAATAAAAAAACTAGTTAATAAAAAGACTGGTTAAGAACATCCATAGTTAATAAGAGAATTAAGTAATAAAAAAGATTAGTTGAAAATATCCATAATTAATAAAAGAACTAATTAATAATACCATTAATTAATGAGACTAATAGTTAATAAGAGAATTGGTTTATAAGAGAATTAATTGAGAATACTAATAATTAATGAAAGAATTAGTTAATAAAAAGATTAGTTAACAAAAAGACGGATTAATTTAATTAACCATTACTATAAAAAGAAGTTTATAAAATCTACTTAATTTTTCTAATAAAACTAATAAGCAGCTTACGTCAAATAAACGGTTCACACAAAATAAACTATAGGATTATCTATACGCAACGTTACATATAGATTATAATCATATACCGTTATATAATTAATACGCCGATACTATATATATTTTAATTTGAATACCGGTACATTACCCGCGTAATCCCGTACCTACTCCCGTTCCTCCCGCCGCCTACATACCCTAGCTCCAATCCGCTCGAATCCCGTCCCCGCTCTCCTACTCCCAACTCTAATCCGTTCTCGGCTCCCAACTCCCAACTCCCACTCTCCTCCTCCGCTACTTTACAATAATTTAATAACTATATAACTAATATTATAGTATTATTATAACGGGAATAATCGCGGCGTAATTCAATAAACATAATCATATTCACCGAATTACGTACTTATAATTAATTATATTCTAACAAAAATAGTAAAAGAATAGATATTAAATAAGTATTATACTTACTATATAAAAAAAACAAAGTTCTAATTATAAATAAACTATAAAGAAATAAATTAAACAAATTATTCACAATATTATCGAATATTTTAATAAATTTTATTTACTTAAGTGAATTATACTTACTAATCTACAAATAATAGTTAACTCTCTAGAGTAAACTCTATTCGTTCGTTTATCTATATTTATCGACAGCTATTATCGGATATAGTAAATAGCACTATATATATTTCATTACAATTTAATATAAATAGTCTGATAATCTCCTACTAGGACTCCTCGTGCGTAACAATTATATTAATATTTATACCGTTTAATTTAACTTTTATATAAATAAAAGTTCCGTTAGCGGCTCGTAGCTACTGGCAATAACCGGTTTTACAATAAAGAATATAAATTCCAATTTACCCAAATATATTCTACTTCGTCAGTATATAGCCGATACTCCTATAATATAATATTAATTAATACTATATACATGAAGACTACAGAAGATTATTTAAACAATTCAACAAATTCCGTCGTACTTATTAATACGTACTAATCTCTATATTATATATTATAATATATTCTAAGTGAGCGCGTTTAATAATCTTATACCTAAATTCATCGACTTATTTATATATAATATAAACGCCTCAATAAAAAACGCGTCGGCGGCTAACGGCAATACTATATAAAATATTTAATAATTAATACTATACCTATTCTATCCTTATAATTTCTAAATTATACTTAGCTATTATTAAATACTACTTTCTTCTACTATTTAATTATTCGATTGCCCGTTACTATAATATTCCAACTATACTCTTCCTAATATACTTAGCGCAATATCTATTTAAAAGCCAATAATATTTTCTATTTAAGAATAGGAAGGTCATAAATAAGGTATACGTTCTTTTACAATTATATTAATATAGAAATATCAATACATTTATTGTTAAATATAATACCAATAAATTTAAAAGGGTTGTTATTATTGTTTATATTATTATGTTTAATATCCATTATATATATTAAAGAAATCTTTATAAATATTATTAATACTAATTTTGTAAATTAGCGAATACGAATAATTATTTTAAATTTATTATCCTCGAAACCGCCAAATAAAAAGAAGCGAATTATTTATATAAAGTTCTCATATAATAAATAATCCCTTTCCGGCTTACAATAGTTCTACTTAATAATTATACTTTTCCAAACCTTATCGTGTATACTATATTAATATCTCTCGATTATCACCGGCCATCGTAGTAAAAAATATACGCTGTAGCGTACTAAAATACTCAACTACTTAATATATTATTATATTTATATTAGAATTTGACTATATATATTATTATAGCCAATTACAAATACGATATATTACGTTAATATAGTATTATAATTCGGCTATATAATTCGATAAATCGGAACGCTCCGTTCGTTAGTACAATATCCGAACTTTATTACTACTATACCGGTAGCTCGCTACCCTTATATCAATATATAAATACCGAAAGGGGTATAGAATAAACTACGCGTATTCGATTATTCTATATCCGGTATCGATTAAGCAAAAATATTAAATGTAAACTATATTAATAGCGCGCCATTATATTATAATATCGATTATAAAAAACGAAAATTAATTTATTTGTATTTCAATTCGTTAAATAGTATTATTAATAATAATACAAATTTATATCAACGAAAAATATTGAAATAATAAAATCTAACGTTTATATTTAGCCAGGCGCCTTACTAATAGCATTTAATTACTTTTTAAATAATAGAAAGTATGCTGATATTTATATTATTAGTAATAATATTATCTTCAATAACGAACGCAATACCGGTTGGCTTATCGTCCGTAATACTAGTTAGTTTATTGTCCGGGGCATCGTTTATAATTGACGCTACGGGTATTATTATATAGGAATTAATTTAAAAACTAATTTATAATCTAATTAATACTATATTACGCCTTAATAGTCTAGCGTATTGACAGCTAATATTTATAATAACACTACCTAATTTAACCTTGAATATCGAACGAATAAAGGCTTTATATAATAATTAGTACAGTTATTTATTTATCTTTATCGTCGTTATAAAATATCGATAGATCCATTATTTAAATATAAATTAGATAATTAATAATAATTTATTCCCTTTTATAATTTAAATATAAATTAGTATTAAAATATCGATAATTAATATATAAACTTTAATACAATTAGCAATTATATAATTTTATAACGATTTGCTATTATATAAGGTATTACAATTAAATATATTGTTTATCTTACGAATAAACAATACCTTTAAATTAGTCTTTTAAAACTATAATAAATAAATAACCGTTATAAAGATTAATTATCGAATATATCCTTATAAATTATATATTTTATAATTACCCGGTGGTTATAAATGCTACTAACCTAGGTAGAACGGTATTTACCATAGAATACAAAAATATTTAATAATAGAATCAGCCCTTATTACTATATTAATTAATATTAAATATATATTATAAATTATACTATTAAAATTTAAATATACTAAATCACTAAGTCGACCGCGGATTAGATCTAACGCTGGTATAATCTAATAAACGGCAAGGAATTAAATAATAATATTATAATCGGTTCCGAACGTACGCTTCTTACCGATTTTTCATATACCGTCTATTCTCTATTATAATTGTAATGTTTCAAAATGATTTCGAATAATATATATCAAATTGAAATTACTACGTTAATTCGAAGGCACTTTTTAATTACAATATACAAAATTAGCTACGAACTTAAAAATACTACTATTTGTATTCTATTAAAGTATATCGCTAATAAATGCTAATAGCGGCCCGTAAAGTAAGACCTACTAAACTGATAAATTAATATTATAAACTTCGTAATATAAATATTTAATATTAACCTACTTACTACGTATAGTAACAATATATCCCCTATTAAACGCTATTAATAATTCGAAGGTTCATATTATTGTGTAAAAATTAGAAATATATAAGCTTAGTGTAATAGAAAATACGTTAATCTATTTAATATATTTATATTAAAAAACCGTTACTACTTAAATATAATAATCTATTAATAATTTAATTATTACTTAATATAAACCAAAGCTATTATTATAGTCAAATAATAAGAGAAAACAAATTTTCCTATACTTTTAGCAAACGGAAGCATCGATTAACCCCTACTAACTAAATTATTAAACCTCGAATACGCTGGGTATTAGCAATATTCTATATACTAATAATAAAACTTTATTAATATTAAATAGTGCCCAACAAACGTATAACTGTAGTATATAAATAATATCGTTATAAAATTTCATATAACTACTAAATAAATAATCGAATTTAATATTTACTAATCTACGTCTACGGACTTTCTTCGAGTCGATATATTCTATTAAATTTATTACCAAAATTAATTCCCTAAATATTATATTATTAACCGTTATTAAATTAATAATAATATTTTTGTTTATAATTGAATTAAATATTATCCGGATAATAATAATACGCGAAATAAATAATATAATATTACCCTTATTAATTATATATACCGTAAATAGAATTAGTAGTACACTATTACTAATTAATATAAATTAAAGAATACTTAGGAACTTCGAAGAATCAC